TTTTTTTTTTTTTTTTTTTTTTTTTTTTTTTGAAATATTTTATCTTCTTCTATATTTCTGCTGTTGGTATTGTTATTTTTGAAGGGAGGAAAGACAGTTAAGTGCTAATGTTTTGTAAACCGTTTTTTTTTTCTGAATTCACTTAGTCAGCAATTTGAACATTCCTTTTTTTCATTTTGTATTTGTTTTTAAGATTATTAAATGTATTTGTTTGAGAATTCGCTCGCAGCTGTAACTTTTCAGTCTCAGTGTTCAAACACATTGATATCGAATAGTGGCAACAATTATTCGTTTTTTTTTTTCCTTTCTTTTTCTGATGAGAAAGGAAAGACCGCGGAATTTGGAAGCTATCACCAATTTTTTAACAATTTGTATTTTATCAGTTGTAACGACTGCAAAACTGTATATCGTTGTATAAAATTTTTTGCACCTACCTTTTCAACAGTTTTCATTTACTTTAACTCAAAAAAAAAAAAAATAAGTTTTTATTTTTATTGTTTTTTTTTAATCAAATAAAAGAATATTTTTTTCTCGATACTATTTTTTTCACTTCTTCGCTGATTTTTCTACACCTGTTATAAAAATAAAAAAGGTTTTACGTTTTTTTTATTATAAAACCTTTGAAAAGTTGAAGAGAGAATAGACGGAAAATTGGCAGCAAAAATACAAGAGCAATTGTATTTTTGTTGTAGAAACCGAGTAAGAAGAAATTGTGATAGCATTGATGATATTCAAGCAAATCCTACACAAGAAAACTCTACCACCCAGTTGGTCGTCCGGACTCCAGATTTCTTAAATTATCGATGATTCGTCTTCTCCAGCAAGCTTCAATTTATTTTCTGCATCTTTTTTTGAACATTAAGTAGGCACGAAAAAAACGACCTGGATAACTCGACAGTGAATCATATGCAGAATAAAATTTCAGCAAAGCTATAGAAAAGACTGAACTACTAGAATGATCTAGCCAACCGTCGTTTACAGATAATACAGAAACGCTTTGTTTGTCCAGCAAATTAGATAGAAATTCGCAGTATTTGACTACTATAACTGTTGTTATTTTTTTCCCTTTGATACATATGTTGTTGAGATTTATAAACAAATTTTAACTGCAAACAAAACTTAATACTGTCAATTGATTTAGTAATAAGACTTAAGAGGAAAAACCAAAAAACTGTTTACAAAAAAAATTTTTTTTCTTGTTTTTGTTGAAATCGTTGTCGGCTAATTGAACATATAAAGCGTAAATCGTTCCCTAAAAAGCAAATGAAAAAAAAGTAAAACAACAGAAATTATAGAAATAAATTTAGTAATAATTTGAACAGTTGTGCACTTTAGCGTCTATTGTTGATCAACGGGTCATATATAGAAACTGTTAAGGAATTACTGAGTTTAAAACTGCTTTGAATTGATCTTTAGTCTCTTCAGGAACTTAGTTGTTCATCGGACTGTAATGGTAATTGAACTTTTCAAATACAACAAACAAACAAAATACAGTAATGTGTTGGTTTAAATGACTGTAAAGAATAGAAAAAAGCAGGTTTCTTCAAAACAGAATCTAAAAATTTTATAAATTTTTTATTTAGCTGATATCGGTTTTTAATATTATTGACTAAACTTCTTGCTTTTTTCTTTTTTGTTTGAATTTATTATAGGTGTTCTTATTTTTACCCTTCTTTTTTTCGTTATTGTTATTCAACGGCTGAATATGAGACAATATTGATAGACAGTGCAGTCGAAACTGTTTTTGAATTTCATTTCAATTGTTTCAGATTGTAAACTGGTCAATTTGCCATGAACGTTTTACATCTTAAAATAATTCTACTAATTGTTATGATGTTAATAGCCTTAGTTTTTGGCTCATTACCAATGAAGGTAAAACATTAAATTATTGCAATTTTGATCACTTGAAAACAGCAGTTTCAATTTCTTTTTTTATGCTCTATTTTATCAGTTGCTTAAATTTAACAAAAAAAAAAAAACTGAAGCGTCTGTACACCAATTATTTTAAACTATTTAAAATGCTTACAAAGAAATGTGGAACGGTTTTTAAGCATCAATTATTGAAAACAGTGTAATAACAAAGTCTGCAATAAAATTGAAAAATTTTCAAAAATTTACTGCATATTTACTGATATTTAAAGATATGCATATTTAGCTCACCAAAACCAAAAGCCAGCACTTTCTTCTAAAAATATTTAAGATTTAAAACAGAACACAAAGGGAAAAAAAGCTAATTATGACCATGTACAGAAATTTTTTCAATTTATAAATTCAAGTTACTGTACAGTAGTCTACTGTAAGACTTATAATTTTTTAGCTTTTAAACTTGCCTTTTTGCACCTGAATTGTAGATAAAGGTAAGTTTTAAACTTGAAACTACCGACGATTAATAAAGAAGATTAATAAAAAAAAATAATTTTTCGTTTTGCGAATAAACTTCAGGACAATGTTAAAGTGTTTAATCTACAAAAAAAAAAAAAACTTTTTATTGTCCAGAAGTAAAAACTGTTTGGTCTTTTAATTAATAATATAAATTTTTTTAAGGTTTAAATATTTATTACTTTTTCCATCTTTTTTTTTTTTTCAGCTTTTCAGTTGGATAAAACGAATGCAACACAGCACTAAAAAAGTTTTTGCTGCACGACTGCTGTCACTGTTATCCTGCGCTTCTGGTGGAATCTTCTTGGGAGTTTGTCTGTTGGATCTATTCCCATTAGCAAAGTAATAAGAAGGAACCAAACTTAGTTTTATTACCTATGTCTAATTTTCAGTTGTGTAAATTAAAGTAACAACTTTTGAAAGATTTATTCTTTGTTGAAATGAGGAAAAATGTTATATTTTTCAAAACCAATGTACTTTATAACTCCAATTATTAATTTGTGATTTTTTTTAGAGAAACATTTGAAAAAATCAAAAACGATGCAAAGCTAAAATCAGAATATCCCTTTACCGAACTAGTTATTGGTTTGGGATTCTTTTTTGTATATTTTGTTGAAGAAATTGCTGCAAAGTTATGTGTCATGAGTGTGCCAACTGATGACGAATCTTATTGTCCAGAATGCAGCGAATGTCAGACTGCTCGCGAGATTCAGTTAGTGCTATTTTTTTTTTTACAATTTACTGTATACTTTTAAGATATACCGTATAAAAAGACTACTTAAATACGCCACGAAAACAGTTAGTTAGTCAACTAATTTGATAAAAAAAA